AAGAAACATATTGAACTGAAATCAAATATCGCGTAATGGCGGATATCGGGCCTTCGGGGATCCCATCAGGATTTGACGATAAAAATATTACAGTTGATCCCCTTTTTTTCCTCCTCCTGCTAGAAAGACGCAAATGCGTTACGGCGTCGCCATAAAGAACGAGAAACGAGCCAACCTGTATCCGCATGGTCATAGCCCACGAGGAACCCTTTCCAACTCATGCTACATTTCAAGAGGGGTATTACAGTGCGTTTTGCGTGCCTGGTGACTTGTAAAAAGGTCATTTATATAAAAAAAAAGAATCGACGACTGTTTTTCGGATTGCTGATTTTCCGAAATTGGCAAAGACGACGGTGAAATATGACGGTCGGCTGCATAACCGCATATGATTTATACACTTTGGGCCCCCGAACGACAAAGCAACGAATAAACATTTATTATTTATAGCCGACGCATCCCACAAAACCACCGCGCGGTGATATTTTGTCACATGCACACCGGAGCGGCTAATAACACACGTTCCAACTGATGACGAAAAAAATACCCGCGAATAAATCAAAGCGGAGTAAAAAGCACGTGTATGTAATTGCCAGACTGACTGATGATTCGTCCGGCGTGAGATATGTGAGGAGCTGGTATCTACCACTCACAAAATGTGCAAAATGCTTCTACGCGTAGACAAATCGTTGTTTTATAGAACACCCCGCGCGCGTTAATTCCGTTTGAAAGATGCGTTCCATAAATCCGGATAATTGTTATCAGAAAACGCAAAAAAGGCCTCAGTTAATCTCCACCGCAACCCTCGAAAAACTGAAACAATGAAAATCTTCTCCCTCCCCTAAGCAATTTATTACACGCTTACAGCAGCGCAGTTTTTAGAAAAACATTAATGACGCCATGATTTATCAGCGCAGCGCCATCTATTTACGAAAAACTACAAATAATTTATACGCTACCAACACTATAATGTCAAGTTTGTGAATCTATTAACCAGCGTAAAGAATTAATGTGGCACACTTAGGACGCTGCATAATTAAGTGCGGCATTAAATTGAACGGCGGCGGAGGCGGCGGCGCGTACCTAATTTACGAAGAAGAATTGATATACATAGCAAAACTAGCGTGCGCGCGGAGGCAGCAGCCGCCGAATCGAACCGATGTTTTCATTTCAGTCATTAATCATGTCGCGGCGGCGGCTGCTGAATTTATAATATGCGCGTCTCTGCAGCAATAACGTCTTTTCATCCCTGCGAAATTCTGTGTAAAATGTTAATGCGACGGCTTGAATCGGTAATCAGGCATTTCGGGACGCCGCGAGAGACTTGTCTCTATTAGTAGTTTTGTGCAGACAAAACTGACAAAAGCTTTCGCAACTGTCAACAACTTCCTCATGCGCATTCCCCCAGCTGATTGATTTATTCCCATTTATTCCGCGTGATGAATAAATATTAACTTAAATTTAGACCATTAGTTTGTTTTGTAACTTGGATGAGATCCATGTATCCATGTGGTCATTGCGGATACCAGGGAGGACCGCGGGTCGAAGACGTGTAATTTGCTAGCTGAGTGATGCGTCATTGGGGAGAGGCGCCGGAATGCGAGCCCTAATGGAATAATGAGAAATGAGACAAAAGCCGTGAGGTCAAAAGGACGTGACGGGCCTTTCATTTGATATCCTTATCCTTCTTCTCCAAAGACCCGGCATTAACCAGCGGTAGCATTTGTGGAATTATGTAATTACGGATTCACCAACCAACCAACCGACGACGACGGAAAGAACAAGCTTTGGACTTTGCAGAAATATGTAATTAATGAACAAGCGTCGCGGACGTGATCGTATGTGTTCCGAATGGTCGTGGGTCATCCTAACAGCCAACACTTGTAATGGAAATAATTCCCAGTGGAGACAGCAGTGAGCGTAACCCAATTAAAGATGATTTCATGTTGTTGTGTGTGTGTTGGGTTTTTATCGCTACGTTGCTTCGAATTAAAGTACCTGGAGGTTCAAAGATGCAGGTCGTGCCCAAGACCACCTAAGTGCCAAGTTGCTTCCGTGGCCCCTTGGACCAAGTTTACACTTATTTTCAACTTTGTCCATAATGTACTTACACACTTTCCGGAAAGCCTGGGTTGGGCACCGTGAGTGCAGACGAGAAAAAATGATAACCTGAGGTGTCCTGCACAGCGTTTAGTCTGAATGCAAAACACTCGGGCGATAAGGGAGCGCGAACAATACATCACGGCGCATCGAGCAGTTCATCAGTCACGTTCGCGCCGTAACCCCCAAGCGGCTTACTTCCAATTACATATCAACTTCCTCTTCTCCCCATCCTCGTCCTCCTCGTCCTCGTCCTTCATCGTGTTGGGACATTCCGCCAGCTTTTTGCGTCAACTCTAGTCACGTTCCGGCGGCGGGGCCTCGACTGGTCGCATCCAGATATATTTTTCGGTGAGGATCAAGGACGTGGCGACACGCACGTCAATGTGTTTCGGACGCCTCTTATGTCCGTCATAATATAAGTGATGATTTTTGAGCATAACCCGAACGTGCCATTCAATCGCCCGGCGCGAGCAAAGGAGCCGTTTCAGCGATTTTTCACGACCAATCGACATAAAAGACGCACGCCCTAATGGGACATCTTTTATTGATAGTTTTATCTTGCGTTTTTATTTCGCGCAAAATCAATCACAACTCCTTAGCCCTCCTCCTCAAAACCGCCCCTCGGTGTTCTAAAGAGGAGAAAATTTTGATAAAGAAAGAGAATGCAAATCGAAGAATAAGCCGATTGGATCCGCTTCTCACATGCAGATAACGCAAGAAAACGAGAAGAAGTCTGCGCGGACTCCAGATGCGGTCGGGTGATCGGAAAAGTTTAACGCAGTTCTGGGGCATTCTTTGAACGCGGCACTTTGTCGTCCTGCCAGCCGCCTCCGAGAGACGGACCGAGATTATCATGCAGATTGCTCCGAGGTTTGTTGAAAACTTCTTGTTAAAGGACGAAAATATTCGATCAGAAGTTGGAGCGCGCAGGTTGGAAGGCACGTCCGCACGTCTACGGCCCATATATGTCTCTGGGAAAACTAACCTAGTGGGTATATCACGAGACATACTCTCGAGGAGTTATTGCGGACAAGTTGATGAAAGCACTAGATAATTCTACAGCGGCACAGCAATTTTATTAACCCTGGAATACTCACGCTTGCATGACGTCCATTAGCGAAAACAACTTAATAAAACGCAGCACGCATGCCATTGCTTTTCATAACATGCAATAAAATAATTTCGTTAATCTACTCAATCACGCCAGAGAAAAATAAATTAAAAGCGCACGCCTCCGGATGAGCGAACCGTAATTCGCGTGAAAACATTGTTTGGCGCCCGCAAACTTTCTTATCAGAATCAGCAACGTGTCGCTGTGGATACAATGTAGTTTCTACGTTTTATTTTTTCATTTTTTAATAATTATTATGCACGAGTAGAGTACTAGCTACGCTTGGGGCGGTGGGTTTAGAAAAAAACGTGCGCTACTCTCAAGTACGGTATAAAGCTCAGCTTTTCTTACTTTCTTGCCCGGCAGATGAGTAAAAACTGCAAACTAAAAAGTTACTTTGCCCGTGCATAACGAGCACTTGCAAAAAAACACTTGCAACAGCTTGGAATACGTATGTCAGTTATAATAACAACAATGTTTTGCAAAAAATGTATCTAGTGACGTCAGAGTTTTAAGAGTGTATCTATAAAAAACAAAATTGCCATTTTCACGCTGGAATATATCCTTTTATATCACTTTTTTCGCTGACAATGCGTTTATTTTATATCACAGCGCGCACGCCTTGAAGGAAACTTGTGCGTTACCTGCTAGATATTTAATATTTCACAGGACCAAATAACCCGAAGCGAGGCGTGTGTCAAAGTAGGCCCTTGCAAATATTTACTACGCAACGGAATATTATATTGCAGAAAAACGCTCATAAATTTAAAAAAGTATAAATCATCATGGATTATTAAGTAACAAGTGGCTAAACGGGTGTTTTTGTCACGAGCGAGCGTAGGGAGTGTTTAATAACGTTTAGCCACGAGATGCTTATCCTACTTTTTCTCCTTCCACCCTATTTTCACGTTTAAGTTTTGTATTTGAACTGCACCGGATGCAAATCCGTAGGCGCAAGCTCCACCCCGTGACTAAACCCCGTAGCTAAAGTACTTTACTCACGACCTTGCCTTTCTGTCTATATAATACCACTTTTTGTGTCTCAAAACAATGAAAAAACTAGATAAAAATAAATTCTACTTCCTAATATTGTGGAGATGCAGACTTAATTAAATTACGTCGACTGCTAATATATTGCATCGGTGGGAGGCGGCAATTTCTCGACGGCGTTATTGTTTCGGCGGTTCGATGCAATTTGCCGGCGCGCCGACTCAAACTCTAATATGCTAATAACATTGTAACTTAATCAACAACTATTTGATAACTCGGGACAAATATTAATTAGGTTACACATTATACGGCATAATTAAACTTGTAAATGAAGCAAAACCGCCGCGCGCGCCGCAACATTGTGCAAGCACGCCGTGTGCGCCACATACATAACCTCTATGTATGCATGACACCGCTTTACCTCTTGCCAAATATACAGTTTGACTGCTTAAAACATTGCAACCGGAAGTTTACACTCCTACCAACTAACCTATAAACATCACCTCATAAATATGAGTGGTGTATGGTCCAAATATTGACTTTGCAAGGGACTGCTAGTAGGTTAATACATTTACGCTGGGCAGGGTGGGTTTGTATGTGTGGCTAATGCGATCACGGTGTGTACGGCGGTGGTTTAATAAAATTACGCCCTCGCTTGCCGTATCAATCTTATCAAAATGTGCACGTACCCAAGGAGCAAAACGCCAAATTATACCGAATCGGATCATCAGGGTGACACAGTTAGAATATTAGCGGAGGAGTTTATTCAGGGGCGTAAAGATGTTGTCATCGTACTCACTTTTATTGTTGAATTAAATTTCTATTGAATGAGGAGGGTGCGAAGCGTCGCCTTCCTTATCGGAGTTTATCTTGTCACACAGCTCGCCCAAAATGCCTGTAATAACAATAATATGTTTTATTAGTCTTGGGGATTATTTTAATATTATTATTGTTTATTTTTTCTCTTTGAAAAGTGTATTTGTATTATGTCCAGAATAACGGTCCAAGTTGCTTCTATTGGATTTGATGTTTTTTAAATTCGTGTAATCAGTGTAACATAATTTATTAGTCCTAAAAATAATTTTGATATTGTTATTGTTTATATTTTCTCATAGGAAAATGTTTTTGTATTATGTCCAGAATAACGGTCCAAGTTGTTTCTATTGGATTTGATGTTTTTTAAATACGTGTAATCACGGTATTATAAATTATTAGTCCTAAGAATAATTTTGATATTGTTATTTTTATATTTTCTCATTGGAAAGTGTTTTTGTAATATGTCCAGAATAACGGTCCAAGTTGCTTCTATGGGATTTGATGTTTTTTAAATACGTGTAATCACTGTAATATAATTTATTAATCCCAATAATGATTTTGATATTGTTATTTTTTATATTTTGTTGTTAGAACGTGTATTTGTTATATGTCCAGAATAGCGGTCCAAGCAGTAACTCATAGTAAATTTTCGATTTCTTTGTTCAAAGAGAATTTGTCACATAGCGTAAAAAGTTAGGGTGCGGTTGGCTTCTGAAAGGATGGCGGCGGCGACGCATTATGTATTATATAATGCATAACGGGGGCGACGTCGGCCTTGCTGGTGACATTGGCGGTTTTGTTGACGAAGCTATTCCAAAATTTATATATCATTTGTATCGTCGGCGTGCAGACGTATTGACAGATTTCAGCCACCATCACCGCACCACTACCTCCTCTTTCGCCCGCGCCGCCGCCCCCTGCCAGCAGCCAATATTCTATACGGATGTATCTAAGGTCCTGTGTCGCGGGGACTTTTGTTGCGGACGTATATCAACGACGCAGAGACATTGCTCCTGACATATTTACACATTGTGGATATCGAAATCAATTTTTTCCACCGCCGCCGCCACGCGAGCGTTGTTCCCGTTTTATTATTCGCATCCGCTGTCTACTCGGACGGCAATCTCCGGCGCGACGTGAAAGCCGGACAGACACGGACAATAAAAGTAGATAAAAGTTGAAGTGGAAGTCAAGACGAGACAGGCCCCCACGATAATCTAATGCGCAATACATATGTTTTTGTTTGGGGTTTATTGTCTATGCAATAGACGACTATAAAACTCTCCCCTCGCTGAATTGAGTGACATAAAAAGCGGCAACAATAGTCATTAAATAAGAAATCATTTTTGCTACTCATTGTCTCCAAGAAAAGCAAGAAAAAATAAATGTTGTTCATGTCATGCGTAAATTTCCACCCCGACAGAATATATATCCATAGCAGGAGATGCAAAACCGGATATGTGGATGTCTGGAATGGGAAAATCTATCATGATATGGAAATACGAATTCAGCCTCCAGCTCTGCTCGAGAAATCTGAAGTGGCCAGGCGAGGGTCCCGGATTTGCAATGACAAAGTGGCTGACCGTCTTTACTTTACACCTGGACTTCTATTTTTTTTCTTTGCTTCCGCCGAAGAGATAACTTGGTTCTTTAGTCGGTGGATAAATAGTGTGGTAGCAATTTGTTGGTAGCAGCGGAGAAAATCAACTCGCAATGCCGGAACAATGCGTTATTGGTAAAGTGCCAATTGCAATTGAAAGCGTCTCGGATATGCAACCCCCGCGGGCGGTCGGCGGCATCGGAGCGTGAAACTTCTTGTTCTTGTTACGAAGCGTGATTACTAACAAACCTCACCAACACACACACACCGAGACACAAAAGACTGAGCATTAACTGACCGCAACCGTAGCCGTCGGATACAGTCTTGACCAAACCGCCGCAGCCGCCGCCCCCTGGTATCATTATTGTCACTTGTCATTAAACTTTATGGTATGCGCAATGTGATTCGCTCGGGCGAAATATGATTTTGGAACTTGGATATGCTCCATGATTTCCTACGACTTTTACATGGTTGTGTATGTGTGTAGCCGCCGCCGCCACGCTGCCGCCATTCCACTTACTTAGAAATAAGTATTCTCGGTGCGTAGGGTTTTCGGGCCCGTCTGAACTATTATTGCGGACCCAGTGAACCGTTAACTTTGGCTGTACTCCATGGCAATAAAAAATAAAATAAAATTCAAACCGAGAAGCGCTTCTTTCAGGATGAAAACTAAAACGTTATAATTTCGGATTAAATTTGCGTAAAAAATATTTATGCAAAGTTTGCCGGAAGCATAATTGCAAGCTCGTCTGAAAGTTTCGCATTATAATTATAGAAAAGAGTTTTCGGCGTCTTGAGACGAGCGCAAAATTGTATACGATTTCGGCGAAATTCGGAAACAAGAAAGCGCTGTAGAAATTGAATTACCGTACGCTTCGCGCCCCCGAAAAACTTTCGAGTTTTCGCACTTTACTTTCCGCAAAAATCTCGCAACAATTTGCATTGTGTCGGATTTTGTTTGTTGTCAGTTTTTGTCCCGACCTCAAACGCAAGCCATCACGACTTGCGGTTGTGAAGAAAAACACCAGCAAACCCTTCGATACCATTTTTTGCGTGCTGGTTAACCGAAGTAAATTTAATCCGGATAAACTTTCGATAAACTAGCAGTAGTAAAGTCTTGTAATGACAGGTCAACACATGAAAACTCTACATCTGCATCCTCCTCGCCTGGGTGGCAAGTTAACTTAACTGTTGGCTCCTATTAGCGTGCAGCCTGCCACTCGAGAAGTTTAGTTTGTGCGCGGCACAGACGCCGAGGGTTTCTTACATATTTATGCACAAGTTACAATCACGGGGGCTGAACGCGCCCCGGCTTTTTGCCGGAGACTAAAATTACCCTCTGACTCCACCTCCTTAACTACCACCACGGACGCTTCTCGCAATTAGGACCACGTCGTCGAGTTAATGGCGAAACAAAATAAACTGTTAGTCTGCAATTTTTGCACTTTGGAAAACTTTGTTTTCAAACACACACACAACGCAGGAATATTTTATTTAAAAAAAATTCTAATCCTCTTATCGACATATCCACAATGTCTGATGATGAAACATTAGCTAATTATTTTAATTAAGAACGTAACACAAGATTTATCAGCTGTTAAAAAAGAAAAAACGCCGCATTCGGCTTGTAATATCAGTAATGTAACTCGGAAAGGCAAGGAAAAAAATGACGCCGCTTTGCGGAAACGAGCGCGACGCTTGATTCTCCTTGCGTCGGAATTTTCCGCATGTTAAATTAACTACGTGTTATGGCGTCGCGCGTCGGGAAAATGAATGTGGGATCCGACAGCGGCGGTAATGGGCGTGAAAGTGGGTTAAACTTATAGATAAATCTATCTTTGCTATAGTTCCAAAACTATAGACCAGCATAGTCTATAATAGTCGAATCGATAAATAATTTTCACTTCGTGTTCGGTGCACAAGCAACACTTGAAATATGAATGGAATAATGATGCCGTAAACAGAGTGCATTGTTTAACTTAATAAATTATCTAATACCACGTGTGCAGGAACAAATTGGTCGTAATTTATATTAAAAAAAAAAAAAAAATTGATTTATTGAAGCGGAAAATCAAGAGTTAATAAAACAGCAATATTTTTACCGTGAGGGTGCTGGGTAAATACGAAAAACAAAAGGGGAAGACGCCCGAAATGTCACTGTTTGCACCCCTTACGACTTATATTAGTTCTAGCAAGAAGCAGAAGCCAAAGAAGAAGCGGCGCGGCTGTTTGTCGCAAATTTGACAGCGCGGTTTTAGCGCTGCAGTCTGTTACATGCCTTCGGAAAGAAGGAAACCAGGCAAACCCGGGGATGCCGCCCTCGTCAGATCGGCACCGCGCACTAATTAGAAGCTATTTGAACAGCTGAAACATTCGTTCGACCTGCGTGCGCCGCTCAAACATTCAACATTGTCATACATGATTGTAACCTTGACAAAAGCTCCCCGGAAACGTCGGAAACAAAACACAATTTAGTAGCGCAACGTGTGTTTACGTCTGCGACGTCTGCGGGGCGTAAAATGAGAAGCGTGGTTTCGGATGATTTGAATGCGGTCGCAATTCCGACTTATCGAGTTACCGACCGGCTTGAAACCGGATATTCCCGCTAAAGTGCACGCCGGGAAATTGAAAGTTTAAATGTGCGCGAAAATTTCAAACACTCTATATGCGAATGTTTTGAGTGAGTAAACAAACCGTTTAATTGAAATTATTCGAAATTTTTAATTGAGAATGGTGGAGGCGCGCGCGCCGCAAATCAATCGATAACGCAATTAATTAATAATAATTCGCCGGCGCGCATCCAGCGTATAAATTAAACACGTATATGCGCCGCCGCCGCCGCCGGTGGAAAATATCGGAGGAAATGTTGACCGGTAAAATGCGCTCGATTCCCGCACCGCAAAGCACACACAACACGCTAGCGAATTTTAAACGAATTAATAATAACCAGCGCGAGCAAAAATCACATTTCGCGGAACAAACGTTTGCATAAACTAATCGCGCCGCCGCCGTTGTGTGCGCCTTTTTAAAATAATTTATTGCGTCGGTTTTAATTGGACGGTCGTGTGTCCATTACCCGTGGAATTTTTAATTTTGCGCTTAATATTTTCGTTCTTCTTTGTTCATTAACATGTTGTTTTTCATCCACAATAATAAAATTATATAAATTTTACATTGTTGTATGTCTAATTATCATTATAAGTATTTGGAAGCATAAAAATGTATAAAATTTTGAAAAATTGGCAAAAATACCGAATTTTGGACTATTATTTATTAAATTATAAACAAATTATAAACTTTTACAACAATTCAACTTGTCAATATGATAGTGCTTAAAAAGATCTATCATTTAAACTGAAAATCATTCTTCTATCTTTATTAGTTTGGTAGTTATTACGTTTTTTATCTTCAAAAATTCGTCAAAATTCAAAATTCTTCTTATTGTTTGTTTAATTACCAACAAATTATAAACATTTACA